CATTCAAGACTTACTGGCACAACTCTTAGTGCAATGTAGTTTGTGTCTAGCAACCTGGAGACTGACAGGGGAAATACATGGAGGTTCATTGTTACGTCCATTGTGTTTGCCTACCAATGATAAGGTAGTGTTGAGCTTACAGAAAGAGAAACTGAAGGCAGAGAGGTTCATATATTGGAAGATGGATGGAAAGCTGATAAATAACAGAAGAGGAATAGAAAAAGATTGGAATTGTTTTGAGGGATACCAGGCATCCAACACTGCTTGTACTATGTACTTACTTATTGACTTGGGGGGGAGCACCCCCTCATTGTTATTAGAGGTATCTAGATTCCGATATGCCCCTCGTCCACAGACCCTCACAACCACTGGGCCAAGGTTGTGGGAAAGAGGACCTTGCCCTCATCAACACAGGTACAAGATTCCCCCCATGTTGAGAGAAGGTGGCCAGATATACTGTACAGTACTTGAGGAGGTGGCCACTTTCTTAGCAACCACTGGCAGCAAGGAAGAACTTGTGTGTAGTAGTGATTTGGAAACATTGATGGTTCTCGGCCTTTTGTCTAAGATCAAGTGTAGTATCTGTTCTTATCAGTGTCCAGCAGGGGTGCTCCACGGCCATTCTAGCTTTGCGGGGATGGCTGGTTGTATAGTACCCCTGCTGGAATGATGGGGGTCTGGAATGGCAGAGTAAGCGTGGAACGCCAAAGCGTGGCGCCAAAGAGTAGTAGCTGGGGCCCGTGAGTAATTCTCCCGGGAAGACCAGAAGGACCCAGTTCCTCCTGATTTGAGTGGATCTACCTTGTCTGGCCAGGGGTCGGGAAGGCAGAAAGTCCGCAAACCAGTGCCCCCTGAGTAGTCACCTCAGGGGTGCCCTTAGTAACACCTGGGTGTGGGACCCCACAGTGTGAAAATGGCACATGGTCACTGCGTTTACCACTTTTCCTGCACAGTGCCCTCAGGACCAGGCCTTCTGGCTAAGTTCAGGGCAATTTTTGCTACAGGCCTCAGGGCCTGGTCTGTGCACTATTTGGCACGACCACTTTTTTTTTTTTTATTTATTTAATTTATTCACCTCCCACGTTTTGTCACTTTTTCTTACTTATGTGTGTGTTTTCTCACAGGATGGAGGGTGTGGGTCCTCGGGCCTGCTCTGAAGTCTAGGGGGAGGATGTGTGGCCTTTTGGTTCCTTCCTCCCCTGTCCCTAGGGGGTTTTCTCTTCGGGAGAGCCCCCTGACCAAGTACTGGGTGGCTGGCTTCGGCTGGCCACAAGGAACGGTGGTTTGCCAGGCCTTTTGGCCAGGAGGACCAAATGGGAACCTCGTCCCTGTCAGGAGCTTCATGCCCCGGGGGATCAGGGTAGTGGTCCATCCCCTTCGGGGGAAGGACAAAGCAAACCCCTAAGTGCACTTTTTCGTGTGGTATTTTACACTTGCACTTTTTTTGTGATTCACTTACGGGTTTTTCGTTATCTGCACGTTTGCGGACTTAAAAAAAAAAAAAAAGTGGTGGAAACATTGCAACTATACATGGTGTTTGGCTCCCAATGAAGAAGTAAAAAATTTGATGTTCACCAGAACAGCCGAAGTTCAGTTCAAACTTGTGTTTGGACCAAACTTTAAACTCATTCCTGATTTAAAAGTGTATTCAAAGCCCACTTTTTTTTTTAATACTGAAGGAGATGGACAGAAAGGTATGGAGAAGTCTGGGGCCTTAATAGACTAGGAGCATCTCTGGGCACAGAGTTTAAAATGCTGAAGAGGCTGATAGGACACCATGATGACCACTTCGGATCAAATCTAAGACTTATACAATCTTTTTTTTAACTGAGCTTGATTTAAGAATTTGAACAAAGAATGAATTGGTCTAAAAACTGCAATGTCACATTATAATGGCAAAATAATTATTAGATGGATTGAAAAATGGTATAATGCAAAGAATGTATCATCTCCATATCTCAACAGAGACCCAGAAGACTCAATAGAAGACCAGGGACTCTTAGTAGAAGACCCGGAACACTCAGTAGAAGACTCAGGTCACTTGGTAGAAGTCCCTGGACACTCAGTTGAAGAACCTAGTCACTCGGTAGAAGATCCTGGGATAACCTGGATGCTCAATAGAAGAACCTGGACGCTCGGTAGAAGACCCATGATCCTTGGTAGAAGACCATTGTCACTCAGTAAGAGAACTCGATAGGAGACCTAGGACACTTGGTAAAAGACCCAGGTAACTTAGTAGAAGACCTTAATAACTCAGTAGAAGACCCCGGAGACTGAGTAGAACACTCAGGGATACAACAGAGGACACTTGGTAGGTAACCCAGGTCACTCAGTAGAAGACAATGGGACTCAGTAGGAGACACAGGACACTCAGTAGAAGACCCAAGACAGTCAGTAGAAGATCCTGTTCACTTAGTAGAATACCTGCAGCATTCAGTTGAAGAAATGCGGTACATTCCCTAGGTGCTAGAGTCTAGAGAAGCCTCTGGGGAAAGGAGCGAGAGAAAGGAAGGCAAGGGAAAGAGAGGCAGAAGAGAGAGACACAGAGATGGAGAAATAAAGGAAGGAGAGAGAAAAAGAAAGAAGGAGAATAGAGGGAAAGACAGGAAGTGGGACAGAGAGAAGGAAGGAGAGAGGGATTAAGAGATGAATTCTTTGGTGTAGAAAGCATTGAGAAGGTCAGAGGAAAACCTGTCTGGCCAAAAGGATTACTGACCTGTCACCACAATAGGACTGTGAGAACTAGGCTGGCCATATACGCGTAGATTTTTGGACGAGAATATTCATAAGAAAAGTCATATGAAAATTCTTTGCACATTCGATGAATGCACGAATGCAGTTCGAAAATTGTCTTTTGCTTTTAAAATGAATGTAATTTTTGAATGATAACTGCAGACACTGGCTGAAACTTGGTTTGATTGAGAGAGGTTTTCCTTCCTCCCTTTTCGAATTTTCCTGTCACTGCTGTTGAAAAGCGAACATCGATTTGACCCCACTAACGATTAGAAAATCAAACAAATATCCTCGAAACGAAAATTCTCGAACAAAAATGTATACGTGTATGGACAGCTTTAGGACGGGTTTGTCTTTTCTGAACTCCTAAGAAAGCTGCCTTGTGGTCTGTATCTTCAAATCTTTGAGAAATTAGGTTTCATCTAAGGATTAAAGTATTAGAACTGTTGTCAGGTTTTTATTGCTGTCCGTGTCCCCACTGGGGAGATTTACCCTCTCTCTATGATGGGAAATCTTAAATTTATATTTGTCACCAGGACCAGTGGTGTATTTAGGTTTTGTACTGCCCTAGGCAACACAAAAATTGTCTGCCTCCACGGACACCAACCAACACCATCCCCCCTTCCATGGAGAGAGCCTGACATTGACCAACAACAACCCTTCCCCCCACCTGGGAGAGCCGTCCACTACCCCCCGCGATAGAGAGGCACCCATCTTCACAGCTCCGGACATCCCCAAGAACAGGGGCGGACTGACCATTTGGAAACTCGGGCACTACCCGAGGGCCCGGGGTCAGTAGGGGGCCCCATGAGATGCCCCTGGTACGTTTTTCATACGCTTTTTTGGGTTTGGGCAAGGATAAAGGGGCCCCATGATCCCCTATTGCCCAGGGGCCCCATGAGTTGTCAGTCCGCCCCTGCCCAAAAATGAAAGTCAGGCTCTAAATACACCATCAAGCAGCCTGCAGATGCCACCTGCTTCCCATGGCACGCATGTCCCTTCTTCCATCTCTTCTTCTGGGGGGAGGTGCTGCCCCCCTGAAAAATGCCACCCTGGGCAAGTGCCTTGTTTGCCTTGTGGTAAATACACCCCTGACCAGGACAGGAGGTGAGGGTAGCCTTCCAATGGGGACACCGTGTTCCAGAGGCAGCTAAGATTGGAGTTCCCTATCACTTTGGAGAGATCGCCTGTTATGAATACAAGACAGGAAGTGAGGGGGAAATCCTCTATAATGGGACACACACAAGAAGAAAAAGTTGTGACCGGGTTCTAGCCCTTCCCATCTTTATTCAAAGCAACAAAGAAGGATTGGGCTATTGATATATTTTAATTAGAGGAACGCTGGAACATGCAACCTGCAAAAAACCTCCAAAGCAGTGAAAACTTTTTAAAGCACACCTTACCCGGTATCCACTGAACAAGGAACTGTCTGCTGTCCATCACCAGGTCCCTTGTATGTTGTAGTTGCTCTTATCTTCTCCTTTCATACTTTTTCCTCCACTGCCCAAAGGCGTAATTGTCTTTCTGGATTGGTGTCCTCATGATAAACAATACAGGAGGAGATATCAGTTTACAAATCTAGTACAGATTAACAGGGCAAATGATTATGTGCTAACCGAGTCTGAATGTCCTACAAAGCACATGAAGGAACTTGTCCTGAAACACAATGGAAGGCTGGACTGGGCGGAAAATGGGTCAAGCATGTGATTGCGTCATAGTAATGCACTTTGTGTGTGTTTTTCTTCCAGGTACTCATAGACATGAAGAATGCTAATGAGTCAAAGTTATAAGTCCTGCAGGGCAAATGGTAAAGATCTGTTTTACTTCTGCTGCAAGTTATGTTCAGGCTTTCCATAGACATAAGAGGGCAGTTGGGTATGGAGTCATTATCCAGCCTGTGTCAAAGATAACATAAATGTTCTACGCGGCCCAATCTATGTATTTATATGTATGACAAGTGGTGGGAAAGTAGCTGTCAAATGCTGTGAAAGCTGCTTTACTTTGGGGAAAGAACATGGACTGGATCAAGTTTTCTTAGGTATTCAATCAAAAACTCAGCCAGCAGTTATCAGCATGAACTAGAAATCCAAATGAGCCTTTCTCAGCCTTTCCAACACAGAGGAACCCTTGAAATAACTTTCTATTGTCAGGGAACCCCTGCTAAAAATTGTTATATCTACATTAGTTTGATGATCGGTGGAAAGTATACTCCTTACATTGGTGGTCAGTGGGAAGAATGTCCCTTACATTGCTGATCAGTGGGAAGAATGTCTCTTACATTGGTGATCAGTGGGAAAAATGCTCCTTACATTGGTGGTCAGTGGGAAGAATGTCCCTTACATTGGGGATCAGTGGGAAGAATGTCCCTTACATTGGTGGTCAGTGGGAAGAATACCCCTTACATTGGTGGTCAGTGGGAAGAATGTCCCTTACATTGGTGGTCAGTGGGAAGAATGTCCCTTACATTGGTGGTCAGTGGGAAGAATGTCCCTTACATTGGAGGTCAGTGGGAAGAATGCTCCTTACATTAGTGATCCGTGGGAATAATTTCCCTTACATTGGTGATCAGTGGGAAAATTGTCCCTTACATTGGAGGTCAGTGGGAAGAATGTCCCTTACATTGGAGGTCAGTGGGAAGAATGCTCCTTACATTGGTGATCAGTGGGAAGAATGCCCCTTACATTGGCGATCAGTGGGAAGAATGTCCCTTACATTGGTGGTCAGTGGGAAGAATGTCCCTTACATTGGTGATCAGTGGGAAGAATGTCCCTTACATTGGGGATCAGTGGAAAGAATGTCCCTTACATTGGGATCAGTGGAAAGAATGTTCCTTACATTGGTGATCAGTGGAAAGAATTTCCCTTACATTGGAGGTCAGTGGAAGAATGCCCCTTACATTGGCGATCAGTGGGAAGAATGCTCCTTACATTGGTGGTCAGTGGGAAGAATGCCCCTTACATTGGTGGTCAGGTGGGAAGAATGTCCCTTACATTGGTGGTCAGCGGGAAGAATGCTCCTTACATTGGTGATCAGTGGAAAGAATGCTCCTTACATTGGTGGTCAGTGGGAAGAATGCCCCTTACATTGGTGATCAGTGGGAAGAATGCTCCTTAAATTGGTGGTCAATAGGGAAAATCCTTCTTAAATTAGTGGTCAATGGTAAGAATGCTCCTTTCATTGGTGATCAGTGGGAAGAATGCCTCTAAATTGGTGGTCAGTGGGAAGAATGCTCCTTACATTGGTGGGCAGTGGGAAGAATGTCCCTTACATTGGTGGTCAGTGGGAAGAATGCTCCTGACATTGGTGATCAGTGGGAAGAATTTCCCTTACATTGGTGGTCAGTGGGAAAATTGTCCCTTACATTGGAGGTCAGTGGGAAGAATGTCCCTTACATTGGAGGTCAGTGGGAAGAATGCTCCTTACATTGGTGATCAGTGGGAAGAATGACACCCTTGCAGACATACAGCTGGTTCTGCCCAGTGGTGTTGGACCTGGAACTAAGCAGGCACCATCAGATGGGAGGATGGTTAGCCACAGCTCAAGGAACCCCTAGCCACCCCTGGAGGAAGCCTAGGGTTCCATGGAACCCTGGTTAAGAATGGCTGTTCTAGAGGGATCCCACACATATGGTACATGCATAGCTACATTGGTCCTAGCTTGATATCCATACCTGGGAAAAAAACTGAAATAAGTGTCTTTATTGCCCACGGCTCCCAATCAGATCCCGGCTATCTTGTATGGTAATGATATCTGGACCCATAAAAGGAATAAAACAAAGGAAACTATTTGCATTCATTATAAGTGCTGTATAATTACAGGCAGTGAAGGTAAAACACTCATTGTGATCAGGATCCCCCCATACACTCTGCATTTTATAAAACAGTGGCTTCTGCTGTCATGGAAAGCTCTTCAGTCCACCATTTTATTCAGAGTCCGAAAATATTCTCTTTGTATTCCATACCTTTTATTATTTATTCTTCCATAGGAACTGGAACAGGAAGCAAAAGTAACATTGTAACTGGTATAACTGATCCAGAAATCTTTAAACAATGTAGTACTACTAAGCAGCATCTCCATTTTCGGTCTGCAGGTACAATTCATCTCTACAATGGTGGACAGAGTTCAGTTATCCTCTGCAAACATAGAATGGCATGTTGTTGGTAGACAGGTTGTTCTAGATTTCTCATCCCCCTGCTCCTATTGCCCAGAATTTTCACAAGACCTTGAGGTCAATCCACATTCTGCATTAAAAAAATTGTCATCCCGAGCAACATTTGTAGGTTTACTGGACTGGAAACTTCATCTTCGGTAAGAAATTTAAAGGAAACCTTTTGCGCCAGGAGATGGGATTCAGGGGAGAGACTTTGTTAGGAGAGGAGACAAAGGGGGATTTTTTTTTTGGGGGGGGGGGGGTTAGTCAGGAAGGGGAAATCATAGAAAGGGATTTGAGCTGGGAGGGAGGCCTATAATAGTGCTGGGGGGGAGGTGGAGGGGGGGGGGCTTTTGTGTTTTCTTTGGGGAGAATGTTGGATTGCAGAGGGAATATATACTTGGGGGGGGGGGGGTTGCTGACACATGATGCTTACTTTGTCCCGGCACTGCTAATGACATTTTGTAATGAGGGGCGGACTGACCATTTGGAAACTCAGGCACTGCCCTAGGGCCCGGGGTCAGTAGGGGGCCCCATCAGATGCCCCTGGTGCCTTTTTCATAGGCTTTTTTGAGTTTGTGCAAGGACACAGGGGCCCCATGATCCCCTATTGCCCGGGGGCCCCATGAGTTGTCAGTCCGCCCCTGTTTGTAATAAAACCTTTCCAATTTCTTTACACACCTTATTTTAGACCCAGTGATGCCATTACTGGGCCTCTGTGCTCCTCTACACAATGCAGGCATATCGTGGCTGGTTGGAGGAGCTGGCAGGGAGCTATACATAGCTTCCTGAAAACATCACAACACCTCACCTCAGTCCTCCTCTCAAGAGCCCTCAGCTCTGATGCAAGTATAATGTACAGCGCTGAGCAAACCTTTTAGCGCTATATAAATACTGTATAATAATAATAAAGTGTATTATAGTAGTGGCCGGGACTTTTTCAGCAGCAGGAGCGTCGGAAAACGCAGTTCTGGCACCTCCAGCACCGGATGTGTGTAATGGCAAGGGGTGCTGGGGTGTGCTGGAGGGTCTATAGATGTTTTCCAGGAAGGAACATTAGGGGAGAGAGGGATTTGTGCTAGGGGGTATTGATGGGGTAGACCGATGTTTGCTAGTAGGGGACATTAGGGGGTGGAGGATTTGTGCTAGGAGGGGAGATGGGGGGGGGGGGTTCTAGAAGTGGAAATTTGGCAGCTGAGATTTGCGCTAGAAAAGGAGATTTTCTATTTTATTGGGGGGGGGGGGGGGGGGGGGGGGGGGGGGGGCAAAGATTAGTGCTAGAAGATGGGATTTGCATTGAAAGGAGGGGGAATTTTTGCATTTTTGTTTGGAGAGAATTTTGGCTTTCAGAGGGAATTTATATTTGGGGGGGTGTATTTTTCATGGCACACAATGCCCACACATTGAGTTAGAGGTTGGCGCTCCAATAACTAATTTCAGACACAGTGGTGTAATCGCTGAGCCTCTGAATTCTCTACGCAATGCAAGCAGATCATGGCTGTTGGGAGGGGCTGGCAGGGTACTGTACATAGCTTCATGAAAACATCTCAGCACCCTGCCTTAGTACTCCTCTCAACAGCCCTCAGCCCTGATGCAAGCAGAGGGCTGGCTCTTGGGAGGAGCTATGCAAATATAAAAAAAATCCCTTAAAGGGTGCAGGTAAGTCTGGAGTCATGGATGCCCCTAGACAGGGTACATTTGAATACTAATTGCCCTGGGTAATGCTTGTGATGCTGAGCCTCCATAATTAAAGGAACTGAAATTCATTGACTGAAAGGGGTGGAGCCTGGGACAATCAGGGTGAGGAGGAAAGACCTAGATAATACTGAAAGGAAATGAGGCGGAGCTCTATCTGATTTGCTGCAGCTTCTAATGTACATTGTGAGACTGCAGGGAAGGTTGGAGGTCAGATGCAGGGGCGGACTGACAACTCATGGGGCCCCCGGGCAATAGGGGATCATGGAGTTCCTGTGTCCTTGCCCAAACTCAAAAAAGCCTATGAAAAAGGTACCAGGGGCATCTCATGAGGCCCCCTACCAGGGGCGGACTGACAACTCATGGGGCCGCCGGGCAATAGGGGATCATGGGGCTCCTGTGTCCTTGCCCACACTCAAAGCACACCCAAAAAAAAAAAGCATATAAAAAGGTACCAGGGGCATTTCATTGGGCCCCCTACTGACCCGGGGCCCTCGGGCAGTGCCCGAGTGCTCGAATGGTCAGTCCGCCCCTGCTCCCTACTGCCCCCGGGTCCTCGGGCAGTGCCTGAGTTTCCAAATGGTCAGTCCGCCCCTGGTCAGCTGTAATGTGCCCTCATGATAAGATTTGGCTTGCTATCATGGAGAAATTGAAGATGAAATGCAAGGAACCTCAAGGTAGCTGTTGATAGCTGTGGAAGAGCGCCCAACGATGGGTGAAATTTGACAACCAATACTTAGCAGAAGACAAGTGTCCCAATCACGTCAATCAATGTCCTTACACTGCAGATGGGAAAAAGTCCAACAAATTTTAGCAGCCAATTAATATGTGAGGAACAATTAATTTTTTGTTCATCTTCAAGTATCTTCACACTGCAGGCCATTCCACATGGTGCCTTACGTTGGTCACTGGAAGCACAGTATGCATGAGTGATTCAAGGAAGGAGTGTTTCTCAAGCTATGGACCCTCGTTGTATCCTTCATGGACCTCCAAAGTCCCAAGCTGGCGGCTCACTTCAGAAGACTCCTCATGGTGCTCAGGGACGATCCTCTGTAGCCGCTGCCAAAGTGGTTCCAGTGGTTCAGGTAGTGGAAGAGCTGGTACAGCTTCAGCCTCTTGTCGAAGCCCGGGCCTTTGGGCATCTTGGCATGGTAGGCCGAGTAGAAGGAAGACCCAAAACCCCCGAACATGCCCGCGATCGCCAGCTCAAATTCAGAATGGCCGTAGAATGAAGCGGGGTCAAATATCACAGGGCCACTGTCTATTTCCGCCACGTTTCCTCCCCAGAGATCCCCGTGAAGGAGAGATGGCACGATCTCAATGCCGGCAAATAGCTGAGGGATCTTCAACTGTAACGAGAAGACAAAGAAAATTAAAAAATATAGGAACATTCTCAATGGAGGAAATTCCTGTAGCTCATTCTAGACATACAGAAGCATTGCCATTGCTTATCCCCAAACTCATGGATCCTGCTCATAAGCAAGCATTGTGGGCAGGACAAAAACAGGCCTGGGCATTTTAGACTGAGCAGCCCATTTTTTTTTTTTAAACCAAATGACAAATAATGACAACTACCGGTTACTTAAGGTTACTGCACATTACCGCGCACTGACTGGTTGCTAGAGGTTACTGGACATCATTACCGCTCACTGACTGGTTGGTAGAGGTTACTGCACATCATTACCACTCACTGATTGGTTGCCAGAGGTTAGTGCACATCATTACCGCTCACTGATTGGTTGCCAGAGGTTACTGCACATCATTACCACTCAGTGACTGGTTGCCAGAGGGTACTGCACATCATTATTGCTCACTGAGTGGTTGCAAGAGGTTACTGCACATCAATACAGCTCACTCGTTGATAGAGGTTACTACACATCATTACTGCTCACTGGTTGCTACAGGTTACTGTTCATCACTACAGCTCACTGACTGGTTGCTAGAGGTTACTGCACATACAGAGGATAACAGAGGGTAAAGTGAAGGCAGCATGACAGCATCGAACATAAAGCTCTATATCAGCACACCAAAGAGAAACTCACAAATTGTCTTTTTTTCTAACATCAGTCTTGCACTCACTTTCTGTCCCAGGCTCGTGGTGTCTGCGGCAGGTGGTAGCAGTGACATCTATCCCTGACATCAGTCCATTGGGTCTCCTCCAGCTTCTCTGCCTTTATGGTAATGGGTCAGCTGACCTTTAGTTGCCACCCCCGGGCCCACAACTGCCGAACTGAATGGGAGGCTGCGGAAAAGCCGGATGAGCGGCGAGGGCTCAAGGAGCAACCCAGCTGCCACAACCACTTTGAGCCCCAAAGACATGCAGGCTGGCCTCCCCAGCCCATCGGGCAAGTGCCCAGAGTGCTCTATTGCCAGCTGAGAAGCAATGTACTGCAATGCGGTCTCCATTGCAATACATTGACTGGAGCCCAGAGGAGACATCAGGGGTCTTTTAGACCATGCATGTCTCAACAAAGAGAACCGGTCAGCTAAAAATCATCACATGGGGACAAATTTTTATTTCAGAAAAAAAGTTTTACCCAAGAACATAACACCCCACCAAAAAAAAAAATTTTGAACCCCCTTCACCTCCACATTTATGCACGTACGAACATAAACGCACACGTCAGGGCGCCTACACGTGAAAACGTCGATTGCGATACACGTTACATATCACCGTGCACACCAGAGTGGGAGCAATAACTCCAGCACCAACTCCTCCGTAGCACTAAACTGATGACCTGTAGGGGCTTTTGAAGTGTCACCTATAGAAAATATGGGGTACTAAAGTTTGTCGCCATTTCACAAGAGCACACAAATTTAGGGTTTGACATGTTACGTTCCTATTTACTCGGTACAACCTCATCTTTTATATGTTGCCAAAAAGTTGGGTAATTTATTGCGTTTGTTTGCCCTAAAATTCACTTTAGTGTGTTTTTTAACGAAAGTTTGCATTTCCTAGACATTTACGGTAATATTGTGTGACTACCACTATTCTATTCTCTTTCTGCTTTCAGAAAATATCTAAAGTTTTGGGGGGTTTTGTGTAATCTTCAGGTCTAAAACTATTTTTTTTAAACGTGTGCAAAAAAAAAAAAAATGCAAAAACGGCTCTGGCAGCAAAAGCGTTAAAAGAAAATCCCATCATAATCCACTTTACAAATCAAACAAAGATTGCTCACTAATGTTCTGTAATACATGACCTACCTGGAGCTGAGACCAGAGCTCCCTCGCCTCCCTGTCCCCAGAGGATTCCTCCAGGAGCTCCAGTTGAAGCTGCAGACGTTGCCCGGGTATAGAATGTCACCCAATCGTCCTGCCAATCATTATTCTGTAAGAGAAGAAATTAGGGTTCTAGTATAGAGGATAAAACGTGAGCATAGAAAACTCTGTGGGTTTTTGTCTTTAAAAGGGAAAATATCGAAGATAGATAGATAGATAGATAGATATGGATCAATTGATAAATAGGTAGATTGATAGATGTGGACAGACAGACAGATAGATAGAAAGACAGACAGATGGACAAATGAATAGATGGATAGACAGATAGAATAGATATAAGAATCAATAGATAGATAGATATGGATCAATTGATAAATAGGTAGATTGAGATAATTTCTTCAGTGTTGTCACATGAAAAGATAGAATAAAATATTTACAGAAATGTGAGAGGTGTACTCACTTCTGGGAGATACTGTAGATAGATATGGATAGACAGACGGACAGACAGATAGATATGGATTAATTGATAAATAAGGATAGATAGATAGATAGATAGATAGATAGATAATAGATAGATAGATAATAGATAGATAGATGGATAATGAATAGATAGATAGATAGATAGATAGATAGATAGATAGATAGATAGATAGATAGATAGATAGATAGATAGATAGATAGATAGATAGATAGATAGATATGGATCAATAGATAGATAGACAGACAGACAGACAGACAGATATGGATCAATAGATAGATAGAAAGACAGACAGACAGACAGATAGGCAGACAGATAGATAGATAGATAGATAGATAGATAGATAGATAGATAGATAGATAGATAGATAGATAGATAATAGATAGATAGATAGATAGATAGATAGATAGATAGATAGATAGATAGATAGATTAGATAGATAATAAGAGAGGGAGACGAATAGGTAATTGATAGACAGAAAAAGTGAGGATAGAAAGAGAGGGAGAAATAAAGATTAATAGATAGAAAGAGAGTGAGATGAAGAAAGAGAAGGCGAGAGAGATATAAAGGGATATAAACAAATAGATAGCTAGAGATAGATAGATAATGAAAAAGGCAGAGAGCTTTGTACAAAAAAGCTAATAAATTGATAGACAACGAAAGAAAGAATGAGAGAGACATAGATAGATAGATAGATAGATAGATAGATAGATAGATAGATAGATAGATAGATAGATAGATAGATAGATAGATAGATAGATAGATAGATAGATATGGATCGATAGATAGATAGATAGATGATAGATAGATAGATATGGATCGATAGATGGATCGATAGATAGATAGAGAGAGAGAGAGAGAGAGATAGAGAATCTCCCAGAAGTGAGTCCACCCCTCACATTTGTATAAATATTTGATTCTATCTTTTCATGTGACAACACTGAAGAAATGACACTTTGCTACAATGTGACGTAGTCAGTGTACAGCTTGTATAACATGGAAATTTGCTGTCCCCTCAAAATAACTCAACACACCGCCATTAATGTATAACCCGCTGGCAATAAAAGTGAGTCCACCCCTAAGTGACAAGGTCCAAAAATGCATTTCAAATATACTGTATGTCTGTTTTTTAAATATATTCTTCAGATTTTTTTTAACATATAAAATATGTAATTTTAACATATATTTTTACTTATATTTGTAAATGCATTCCAAAAATGGAGATTTGTATTTTTAAAGACATACAGTATATATAAATACATATATTTTGAAATATATTGCATATGGCCAAAATTGTAGTATTTCAAATATATTTTTCTTCCATGGTTCTCATATATCACTCTTACCGTAGGAATGTATCCACAGCATGTCGCGATATGGAAACCAAACTTGTCCACATACTGGAGCTCTGACTGTCCGGACCCTTTGCCTTAAGCAGAAAAAAAAAACCTCATATTCTGGATGAAGCAGTAGAGCAGAACTTCACCTTTAGGTTACTTTAACACTGATCCGTAGGAAAAACACTGAAAAAATTAGTTTGCAGTTTTGCCACATTTTTACCATGTTTGCCGTGATTTTTTTTTTACAGGATATGTCTCAAAAACCGCACCAAAAACCCAATGCAGGTGCGTTTTTTTTGCTGCATTTTCAATTGATTTTAATGAGGAGATGCATTTTTGGTGTGGTTTTTTTTGTTACCGCACCAAACCTGCACCAAAAATGCAGCAAGTAGGATTTAACCACTTGAGCCCCAGAGGATTTACCCCCTTAATGACCAGGCCTTTTTTTGCTGTTTGGCACTGCCCTAATTCAAATGATAATTGCGCGGTCATGCAATGCTGTACCCAAACAAAATTTACGTCCTTTTTTTCACACAAATAGAGCTTTCTTTTGGTGGTATTTGATCACCTGTGCGCTTTTTATTTTTTGCGCTATAAACAAAAAAACCACAAAAAATTTGAAAAAAAACAATATTTTCTACTTTCAGCTATAAAAAATATATCGTAAACTCAAAGTTAGTCATAAATTTAAGCCAAAATGTATTCTGCTACATGTTTTTGGTAAAAAAAATCCCAATAAGTGTATATTGATTGCTTTGTGTGAAAGTTATAGCGTCTACAAACTATGGTATAGATACTGTAATTTATGCCTTTTTTTGCTATACAGCGCTGCACTAATTCAAATGATAATTGCGCGGTCATGCAATGCTGCATCCAAACGAAAATTACATCCTTTTTTTCACACAAATAGAGCTTTCTTTTGGTGGTATTTGATCACCTGTGCGCTTTTTATTTTTTGCGCTATAAACAAAAAAACCACAAACATTTTGAAAAAAAACAATATTTTCTACTTTCAGCTATAAAAAATATATTGTAAACTCAAAGTTAGTCATAAATTTAAGCCAAAATGTATTCTGCTCCATGTTTTTGGTAAAAAACATCCCGTGCATTAGCGGGCAAACTGGCGCTATCTAGGAGGGGCGCTAACACTATCGGAAGTCACTAGTGACACTAATACAGTGATCAGTAAAAATCTGTTCACTGTAATCAATGACACTGGTGACAGGGCAGTGAAGGGGTTAACTGGGGGGGGGGGGGGGGGGGGGCAATCAAGGGGTTAAATGGGATTTCTGGTGCACTAGCGGGCAAACTGGCGCTATCTGGGAGGGGCGCTAACACTATCGGAAGTCGCCAG